TATTAAATTAATATCAGTATAATATCATTAGTTAAATAAACTATTACATTAAAATAATTTATCTTCGCTTAGAAGACATCTAATATATATAAGTTATTTGATTTTGCTTTGTTTTCTTAAAGTTATGCAATCAAAATATATATCATATGAATGCATTGTTTCTTTGACTTTTACAATACATCTTCAATAATATAAGTTCTAAAATAAAAAATTCATAATTATATTGCTTTTATATCATTAATAAAATAAATGATTAGATTAAAATAATTGCTCTAACTAGTTCAATCTACAACATTCCACATACCCTTAATGATAGAACTATATCTCTTGAATCTCTTCTTTCTTCTTATCCAAAATATTCTATCTTCAAAAACAACTCAGATATCATAAACTTCTCTTTCTGGACCAACTTACTATTCATGACAATTTATATCTACTGTACTGGCAACATACATCACCTAGACTTAACAAAATTCTAAAAAGTATTATACCACAATGGTTTACTATCCTTGAGGACATTACTACAAGTCAATCTTACCAACATAAACTCTATGATCACTATAATCTACCCTTTATAAACTACTTCTGCTACTTTACTAGCCACTTTATCTTTAACACTAAACCTTGGTTATTTACTGTTTTTAATAATTAAATAATTATTGGTAAGGCCAGAAAACATAATACACCTACTGGCCTTACTCTCATTAATTACTGGCACTGCTCATTCTAGTCTCAGTTCTCTAACCTTTATCTACTCCTCCCTCTACTATTACATTATATACTGAATGCCACCTTAATTCAAATACAATTGCTAACAAATGTACTATTTTTATTTCTACTAATTTGGCTACTAAGCTACTTTGCCACATTAATCCTGACAAAACTCTCAACCTCTATGTAAACTTTCTTAATATTGCATACTCTGTTGCTCTTTGACATCTCTTATATATTCTACTTCCACCTTTACTTACAATTAATTTATAACAACTATTTCCTATTTTTGAAATATTTTAATTTGTTAATAACCTTCAGACTATTGCTAACTTAAATCACAATCTATTATCTATTTCATTTTATACTGATGGTTCTGTTATCAATCTTGGTACCTTTTAGTGCTCTATAGACAAAGGTTGGGTTCAAGTTAATAACTTTACAACTATTAATTCATTTTAGATACAAGTTAAACTGTGGTCATACTTCTTCAAAGCTGAAATTCTTGCTATTCTCTTAGCAATTATTACTGCTTCTAGAAATTGCTCAGTTCACATATTTACTAACTTACAATCAGTAATTTCCAAATATCATAACATTTGCCAATCAGCATCTATTCTCTCCTATACTTATACTCCATATTTCTCTATCTGGCAAACACTTATCAACTTTATTAAGTATTATGAAATTTAACTTACTTTTTACAAAATTACTGCACATTAAGATAACCCATTTAACAACCTTGCTAATTAACTTGCTCACAATCATCAAGTATTACCTTACCTAACATTCTTAACTAATAATTCTTACAACCTCAACTATACTCCTTTCATCGATAAATTTCCTATTAAAATTTCTATCTGATGCTCTATTCAAACTATATGCCAAGCTTACATTATATCACTTTGGACATCTCAACATTGTTTTTAACAATAGTCTACCATTGCATCTGATATTAACTGGAAAGCTACATGGCTTTACATCAACAACAATCAAAAAATTTCTAATTTTGCTTACAGCTTTTACTCATCTACTCTGAAAATTTTTGAGTTAAAATTCTTACTAATGAACTTTCTGTTCCTCATACTCTTCATAAACATAACTCTTCATTTTTTTTCTTTTGTCATCAATGTAACCAAACCAGCTCTTCACTTCATTGAGTTATCTGCCTATCAACTCAAACAATTTACCACTTAATCTCTAATTCTCTTAATAGTATCTTAAATATGACTAATCTTGATATGCCTGCCAATCTTGTCTCTGATTTACATACTGAAATTCTCACACTTAACAGTTTCAAACTGCATAACTCTTCACATATACCTTCACTTATTTCTACTCTATTTGGTTAGTTCCTATTGATCTTATTACTACTATTCACAATTCTTTTATTTTCTACTATACTGTCACTACTCTTTCTATCAAACTTCTTCTTCACTTAAACCAACAAATATATAAACAAATATAGATTCCATACTGTATTTCATGTTCTGTTTAGTTCCAAACCATACTTTCTACTAACTTAACTCATAGTTACTCTTCTAACCTACCTCTACTTTCTATTTCAATATTACAAATTATTACTAAAATTGATCTTTGGACTATCCAATAGATTAAATACTATATATCTCTCTCTTATATTATTACTCAAACCCAAATTTAGGTGAGCCTTGGTCACTCTTGTAGGTTTAGGTCACAGATTATATGTCTGAGTCTTTATTCTTTATATGTAATTTAAAAGCAAGCTTTTTTTTATAAAAACTTCAATTGAATTTCAATAAAATTAAAGACATGGCCTCACTATTAATATTTAAAAAAAAATAAAATAATTGCTCTTCTGAAAATATGCAACTGATCAGTTTATTACATTTTAAGTAATCATATATTGTTTTTTTGAATTATATACTTGCCAGACTATTGACCATGCAGCAAATTGTTTTTGATATATTGCATTGTATTGTATATTATATGAATCAAGAATAGTATTTTAATATAGTCCTATAATTAGACATTTGATATTCTATATTGTATTTAGTTAATGATTACTTCAAAATAATTTTTTTTAAGAAGATATATTAAATAATGGATGAAGGTTAAGAAATTTGTCTCTTACATTTTTAAAATATAGCTTTTATTGTTTAAATAATCTTTTTTGTTATAGTTTAACACATTTAACTTTTCAAAGAACTTTGTTTTTTTTTAGAATTTTTCACTTGAAAAGATATAATCAAGAAGTGTTTAATCATAAATATTCAAAGAATTCTATATATATATTTGAAAGACTATCTGTACTCATAATATTACTATATTTAGTATAATGTTTATAATATTTGTTTAAAGTAAGAAAAGAAAATTAACACGTTTCAGAAAGAAAAGGATAAACATGTTCTGAAGAAAAGCTATAGAATGCATCATCATTTATATATTATTTATATTATCAAGGAAATTTAATTTTAATTAATTAGTCAGTGATTGAAATATATATTATTTGCTCTATTTTTATTAAATATTAGTACTATTGTTTTATGTATATTAAATATTTATTACAAAAAATATTTAAGACAGTTACTTGCACTATACATCAGCTTGTTAAAAATTCAGTAAAATCTTAAAAATATAATAATAAACAATGTCATCTGATAAAAAAGAACCAGTATGTAATTCAAAAAAAGTACAATATTATTGTCCAAGATGTAATAAGAAATATGTTGATCTTAGAAGTAAACAAGATTATATAGCCTTAGCTGATATTAAAAGTGCTAGTACAAGTAAAGAACATTTATCATCTAAATATAAGTATAAAAAAAAACCACTTCCCAAACTTTCAAAATATGATAATTCAGAAAGTAAAAGTTCAAAAAGTAAAGATACAGAAGAAAAAGATAATGATATTGAAGATTTTGATAATAATTATTCTGATAGCAATTGTATAAAAACTAATAGATCAAAAAGTGAAGATAGTACTAGCAATAATATAGAAAGCAATAAATCAGAAAATAAAAAAGATAGTACTACTAATGAAGAAGATAATACAACAAGTGATGAAAATAATATAGAATCAAGCACTAATTTTATAAATATATTTTTTGAAGTTAACTTTAATAAACAATTACCAATTATCGAAAGAGCAGCTAAAGATATATTTAAATAATCTTTACCAGTTAATGATGATGAAAAATTAAATATTAAACAATCTTTAGAAGAATTATCATTATACAATATATATCAGCCATTTGATAATGATGATGTTATAATAATTCAAGATGAAGAGTCTAATAATTTCCTTTCACCAGCAATTTTTCAAATAATTCAAATAATACTGCAAATGAATTTTCAAAAGATTCACAAAGAAGTTATGAACCAATTAATTTTATTTTATCAGAAATTGATCCTAAAATTTTTGATCCACTATTCACTTTTGCTGATAATAATAAAAATAAAGCAATTATCTTATAGATAATGAAAAACAGCAATCTTTCAATATATCTAATATTGGAACAGAAGCATTAATTAAGTTTCTTTACTATATACTTATATATTTTAAAATAAATAAGGCTGATAGTTTTCTAACTTCCATGTTTACAGCTAAATCATCTTTGAGTATCTTAACTAAATATAAAAAATATGTTGCTTGTTCTAAATATTATAAATTCTATGGATTATTAGATGTCAAAAATTATAAAGAAGATAATAAACCTATATGCAAAAGATGTTTACATGTCAAATATCCTGAACATAGATCATTATCTTAAAGATTAGCCTGTAATAAAACATTAGCAGAGATTATAAAAACTAAAGAAGAATCTTTATTATAACTATTAAAACTTTATCTTGTTAGAAGTATAAGACAACAACTTTATATAATATATTAGTGATCAGACTTTGAGAATATGTTATGACATTTTAGTAATAAAAATATTCCAATTAGAATTTTCTCAAATATATATTAGAATGATATTTGAAAAAACTTTTTGATTAATCCTGATGATTCTCAACCATTTTTACAAATAACAAACTTGATACACATATCAGCCTAGCTTTTAATATTGATTGGTTTTAACTATTTGATTATACAGTTCATAGTACTAAGCTAATTTATAAACTTTTGTGTAATTTATTATGTGAAGAATGATTCAAAACAAACAATATTTTAACATTAAATATTATATTAGAACCTAATAAACCTAGTAAACATCAAATTAATTACTATCATGTACCAATTGTTGATAAGTTATTAGAATTTTTCTCTAATTTAGAATTATCAAAAATTTGAATATAATAAAAAAAGAATGATATATGTAGTATTAATATTATCTGCTAATGATGTTTCTGCTATAAGAAAGATTTGTGATTATGCAAGTCATGTAGTTAAATACCATTGTTGTCCAAAATATTCAAAATATGACTCTGATACTAAAAGAAACCATTATAGTAGTTTTGAAGATATGAAGAAATAGTTTAATTCTGTAGATATCTCACAGTATTTTAATGTAGCAAAACAATGATTACATTGCATAATAAGAATAAATGTAAGCAATATATCAAAGATACAGAAATAAGATAGTTAAAACTATATTGGCTAAAATATTTTGATCTAGTTGAATTTATAATAGTTAATCTAATGCATTGCTTATTTTTAGGCATTAGCAAGTGAATAATAAGACAGTGTTTATTAAATTATAATGAACTTGACAATGCTAAACTTTTAACAATCGAAAAACATATATCAAATATTAAAGTTTTTGCTAATATAGGTCATATTTCATTAAAAGTTATATATGGATCAGAAGGGTTTAATCGATTTACAGCAAATCAATAGAGAATATTTTACCAAGTCTATATTATTTCTTGCATGTAGAATATGTTAGATTTTGGAGATAAAAAAATCATTTTTAATTTTGTTTGAGAATGCAATTTATTAATAAACTGAATAGTTAAGCAAAGCAACATAAACAAAGCATATAATTAGCTAATAAACATAGCACAGTTAATTAAAAAATATTATAGCCTAATATATATATCATCAAATATTCATTTGTCACTACACATTAGGCAATGTTGTCTAGACTATGGTTAACCCTATACTTATTGGTGCTATTCTTTCAAAAAGATGAATAGTCTATTAGAATTCTATCTGACAAGCAATTAGTCAATTGAGCCTAAACTTATATGCATCCTAATGAAAAATGTACAAATAGAATTTAAAATAAATTCAACAGATAGTGATAACACAAGATTATTATTGGACCAAGTTCTTCCACTTTTGAATAAAAAAGTATATAGAAGTTTAAAAATAAATGAAAACTTTGAAAATAAAGATTTGGTAGTATATTTGAAATAGCTAATAAAATTGATACAACAAATATAATCACAGAAGCAGAAAGATATCTTGGTAAAATGCTAAAACCAATTCTTTTAGATGTATATCTTTCTCAAAATATTTAGCAATATCTTGTTAAATATTATTCTATATTATATAATATAATATTACTATCAGTTAATAATATTGTAACCCAATATGAAAGATTAAGGTTGGAGATAAATATATATGGTTTGAAAATAGCTCACAATATATTAACCACTCATATATCAGAGCAAAGTTCTTAGCCTTTACAAATAATTCTGTTAATATATATTTAGAACAAATACAATTTTTTTTTTAATAAAAATTTTTAAGTAATACCTTTCATTTAGCTTATGTTCAATGATATTGATTACACAAAACATGAAGACATTACTTATTATTAAAGAATGATAAGCATTATGATATAGAAATTTGGCAAGATAAATTTTATAATAAAGCTAAAGACTGTATAATTTCTGTTCAAAGAATATTAGAATGATTTATTCCTTCATTATACAAATTTAAATATGATACTTCATTGCAAATATATTAGTAATAATTCTAACAAATAAACAATTTAATATATAATTAAACTAATATTTTATTAATTAATTATTTTTTAGTATATGATTAAATATATTTAATAAATATTTTTTGAATTTGAATATATAAGTATCATTATATTAATATGCATATTTTACATTATTATTGCTTTTAATATTATATTATTATATATTTATAATTATTATTAAAATATTAGTATAAATAATATAGATCAAGTAAATTAATATAATTAGTAGAATATCTTCTTATATTCTATTATATCAAAAAATTTTAGTTTTATATTTAAAAATTATTTTTTAATTTTTTTTTATTTTATTTTATAAGCAGTCATGTTAGTACTTATTAAGATTTTTGAAACTACTACTATAATTATATAAATTTACCTAACAACTAAGCCTAGCATCATCTGGCTACTCTAATGGCATCTAAGTGCAATCTGTTGCATTATTTCTAACAAAAGCAAGCTGCTTGTCTGACTACTTAAAGTTCATAATAAAAGGGTCTTTTCTCTTTCATAACAAGCTTGTTAATTGTTTTTCTAACTTCTTTCTTTATATGCTCTTCTTTTTCTTTTGTTTTCTTTTTCTTTTCTTCTATTGCTTGCTGACTAGCCTTTCTTTTTTTCTTTTTATTTAACTTTACTTTTTTCTTCAGTTTTCTTTTTTTCTCTCTATTTGTTATTCTTCTTTTTTTTTCCATATGTTGACCTTTTTATAGTAGATTCTTCAGACTTGTTTATAGAATATGTTTTATATTGTTTCTGCTACTATGTTTATAAACTGTTGTCTTGTTTTCATATTTAAGATTTGAGATAATCTGTTTTAAGTTGCCTTTACAATTAGACCTTTAATCAGTACTTTTTTTATTTTTATTTTATCTTGCTATATATAATATATAAGATGAGACCTATATTTTTTCTTTTTCTTTTAAACTTTTCCATGCTATTGCAATAAATAATTTCTGTATTCTTTTTTATAGATTTGCTTGTCCCTTACACAATGTCAAATGTTTTTATGTTTCTTTTATTCTGCTTTGGCAAACTTGGCATTCTGCTGTTGTATATATATTTGGTCTTCTTCTATTAAGTTCTTCTAATGTCAGAAGTTTATTCAACATATATTTTATAAAGGCATTTCTTTTTGTCAAACAGTGTATTCCTTTAGATAACTTCAGCTTATTCCAAAAGTATATCCAATCATAAGTTGTTACTTCTGCTTCTGGTTTTATATTCTTGATTACTATTGTTTTCTTTCACTCTGCTTCTAGTTTAGCATTTGTTACTATTTTATATAGAAGTCTTGCTGATATGTTTATTGGCTTGTTTTCCTACTCTAGGCAGTACTTTATCTCTTCATGGCTAACTTTATCTGAAAAAATTAATTTTCTACTTAATGTTTTCTTCTTTATAAGGCTATCAGCTTTATCATTCTATTTATTTCTACTATGACTTTTCACTTTGATTTACTCTATCTGTATATTCTTTGTTTTAATTATATCTATTATTTTTAATACCTATAATACATTTTTCTTCTTAATAATTTCATTTCTATCTATATGCACTAAGCCTTTATCAATGTTTCTAATTGCTGCATTGCTATCTGTAAATATTTCTAATTTTTTCACTTTTGATATTGTTAAGATTGCTACCTATATTGCTAGCATCTTAGCTGTAGTAGATGTAAGCTATTCTTTTACTTTTAATGCTACCTTCTCTTCTGACCAATTTTGTGCTTCAACTATTTGTACCCAACCTATACCTATGTTTTTATCTATTGTTTTTTCTTTTTTCTTTTATTTGCTATACTGTCTGTATATATTGTATATTTGTTTTTGTCTCTTAATATATTTCTTCACAAGATTTCTACTAGCTCTTAACTAACATTTTCTCTTACTTTTTGTTTCCTAATTAATTTTATTTCTAGGTTTTCTAACATTTTTAGTTCTATTAATTTCTGTTCATTTTTTCTCAGTTTCTTTGTTTTTATATATCCTATTAATTGATTAGTAGCTGCCTTAATTATATTATTGTTTCTCCCTATTAGCATGTCTGGAACTGTGTTTATTTTATTGTTAATTCTTATTTAATATTGACAGCTATTTTTTTTTGTTTCTTTTTCTCTCAAACACCTATTGCATTTATCAATTTTTGTTATTAAGTCATTTTTTATATTATGTATTTGCCAATATTCTATTAGTAGCTTCTTCTTCTTTTTTTTAACTATTTTTTCTACTTGCCTATCTTCTGTTGCATCATGTATTATTTATTCATTTTTCTCCTGTCATTTGACAGAATTCTCTACTTAATCTTCATTGCCTGTATATTATATTGCCTGTTTTAAATTGTTCTTTAACTTCTTTGCTTTTAATTCTGTTAAGCATTTTTGTCTCTATTGTTTTAAACCACACTTCTTTTTTGTCTTTGCTTGATTAATTCTGGTAGGTCTTGAATTGCTGTCATGTTATTAGTCTTTTTTCTTTTGTGTTAAGTAGTTGATTTAGGTATATTAGTTCTGCTTTACTTATTTTGGGTCTGCTTCTTTTTTATAATCATGATTCTACTAGTTCAATTATTCTGAAACTGTAGCTATTTGTTGTTCATAGTTTACTTTTTGTATTTATATTTATTTCTAATTCCTTTGTTTTAGCTATCATCAAACAAGCTAGATTGTTCTTTCAACATAACTTGTCTTTTGGCAATTTTTCTGCTTTTCATCTTTCTTCTATTAGACTTGCTCTTTGACAACCTTGCATTATTCTCAATTTTGTTAGCTGCTCTAGTTCATCTTTTCTGTTTATTCTTGCTACCAAACCTCTTATTTGTTTTATTATAAGTTTCTGTTACAAAGTTTTGCAACTATCAAGATTTTTATATTCTATTATACAGTTCTCTAGTGTTCTTGATAAGCTACTTTTTTGTTTTGCCAAGCATATTATTGGTTGTCATATTTCATTTATCTCTTTTTCTAATATCTTCATTAATTGCAACATGTAGCTTAATTTTGGCATTATTACTATATTGTTTATATATGCTATCTGGCTTATTGTTATTTTCTTATATTTAAGATCTCTTATTGTTTGGCTTATTATCTCTTTTGTTTTTTTCTTTACTAAGACTTCTTGCATTCTGTTGTTTAGCCAGATTCCTAATGAATATAATATCTTGTTTCTTGGCTCTTTTGTTATTTTGCTTTTTCTAAAATTTTTTTTTTCTTTTTTAACTTTTCTGTTCATTATTATCAGTTTTGATTTAGATCTATTTATTTCAATATCATTTATTCTGAAGAAGTTTTTTGTCATCTTTAAGATCTTTAATAGTTGTTCTTTGCTTTTTTAATCCATGTTGTATCATTTGCATATGCAATTGCTACTTGGCAATAACTTGTAATGTTGTTACAGTATATTCCTTCTTTAACCTTTTGTTCTACTATATAGCCTAACCTTTTATTTTTCTGTATCTTTTCTAATAATGGATCATAGAAAAGGCACCATATTAGTGATGATATTACTTTATTTTGATTTATTT